CAAAAAAGGAAAGGCAAAGTTAAAAGGAAAATGGGACAAAGTTAGAAGGAAACCATTCAGGCATGCTTAGTTTTTATACAGCTTTTATATTGCACAAAAAATTGCAATTGTGATTTCAGAAGTCAAAATATTAAATTTAGAAGTTGTGACAATGTTATTTATAAGAATCTCTTCGTTTAGAGCCTGTCCAACATTGAGCCTTAACACCTTTCGAGTTTACGAACGCTTTATTTCTTTTAGTGTGCCTTTTCTTAAGTCAGATAAGCACTTTTCAGATTTAAAAAATAATCTGAATGCTTTTAAAACCAACCTGTTTTCGAAATAATCCATTTGATATATTTTAAGAGCTTGAAAAAGAGTGTGTTTTCAAAGTTTTCATTTATAATTAAATAATAATTTTAGTTCATATTTTTATTCTTATTTTCCTGTACGAAAAAAACGTCCATCCAATAAAAGACAACTTATTGAAGCTATAATTGATTCTTGGCACCATGTGATTACGAAAGATGAACTCCAAGCACTCGTTCACTCGATGGAAAGACGCTGTGAAGCTGTCTTAAAAAATAAGAGCTATCCTACTAAGTATTGATTGTGTAAGTATCACTTTAAAAAACTGCAAATCTAATATAGATCTTACTATTAGTTGCATAACTTTTTCTGTAATACAGATATTGTAATATTGTATTTATTATTAAATTTTACATTAATAATAACCTTCAATTTGATATCCAAGCGTTTGTATTTAAGTGAAAACTAATATATTCTACAAGCACATGAAATTGAAAAACATAAACCTTCAAAAAATGCCCACACTTTTGGCTACCACTGTATATTATTAGTATAATTATTAGGTAAAGAAAATTTTGTTAATAAAATATATTTATCCAGAAAACAATGTTTTGTTAACAAATATTTAATATAATATGCTGTTAGTTCCAACTTTCATTTAATATAATGTATTCCTATCCCTTATTTTGTAATTATAAATCCAACCCTGCAAGTAAGTATTAAGACAAACTGAGGCAACATTAAGGAAGATAAGCATTACATAATAAGGGGTGGCAAGTTTTATTCCAACGGTAACTTTAACAGCCATTCACGATAGTTTTTATCAGCATTTAATCTTAACTAAATCCTTTCGTTTATGGTAGCCCAAATTTATGTTGCAATAAATTTCAAAAAAATGATGCGTGTTTGAATGCAACTATTTGCTACTCTCACAAATAAGAGTGATTTTGGTGACGCACTTAATTTGGAATTGTGTTAATGGCCGTTTGAATTTGTTAAAATTTTAAAAGAAAGTTATAGTATGGGTCAGCCTAATTTTCTACAACGGAAAACAGTTGGAATTAATGTATATTGTTTTATAAGGTTTTCTATAACAAGCGGAACTAGAGTGGCATGTTTTTTTTTGGTTCATTCTTTAGCATGAGTTCTTCAGTCTAATATATTAATTAGCGGCTATTAACTAGTTTAAT